GCTACATGAATGTCTGCTTACCACGTGCGTGTCTGGTGCCTGTGGAGGCTAGAAGAGGTTCTTGGATCCCTATGAACTAGAATTATAGACAGTTAGAAGCTGCCATTTAGATGGTAGGAACTGAACCCAGGTCTTCTTCCAGAGTGGTAAGTGCGTTTAACCACCGAGCCATCTTTCTAGCCCCTGTTCCATAGAAATTGTAGCCTTTATTTCTACCCCTCTGTTGAGATTATCACCTTCCTTGTCTTTATTTCTTATATATGTGATTTTTTAAATGTCATCTGTTTGTAAAAAAAATAATATTAATAATGCATACTGTTAAAGAGGCACACAAAAGAACTGTTTGCTGTGAAATGAAACCAAGGCCTTACTTAGAAGCTTGATTTCAAAACTCAGGCCAAACTGTAATGGTGAATGTGACAGTAGTTGGTTGGAGCAAGCATCCCCCAAAGTTCTACAATGTAACTGAGGAATTTGATTGTACATTTTTTTTTTGTTTTTGTTTAAATTATCAGTCCAAGAATCCATGAGATGTGGCTACAGGAAGTCCCTCGACTTCCCAAAAGCCAGCCATACTCCCTAGAGGAGGATGGCCAAGTCCACACCCTGAGTCCATACTGGGGAGGGGACAACATTGCTTCTATGTAAATTATGTACTGTTAAAAAATTAAGTTAAATCTTCTGCCTTAATACTTCTTTACTTTTATTTTCAATTTTTAAATGGTCAGCCAACGTGGCCCTCTTTTTTTTTTTCCCCCAACTTGATGTATTAAGGCTTTGATCTCCTTGGGAGCAGGTTGAAGTTTGCCTGTACACTGACTTGAGACCATTTAATAAAAGTGCACACCTTAAAAAAACAAAAACAAGCAAACAAACAAACAACCCTCAAGTCAAACAAGAATTTAAGTCAATGCTAGAGGTCTAAAGATCTGTGAGAAAATCAGTACACTTACGACAGCCAGAGACAGATAATAATACTTATGCTATTTTGAAACATGCATAATGATTTAAGTGCCACTTAACTGTGTATTGGATACTGAGTCTATGGGCTACATCTGAGCCAGGGTTTTAGGTCTTCTTCGTGCACTGTCATTGCTTGAAGTATCAGTCTCTGCAGGGTCCCCAGGGCTCAGTTTTTATGGCTATGTTAGTCTCCTTTTGGAGCTCCTATTCCCTCCAGGTCTTTCTATCTTCTCCCTCTTCCATAAGATTCCCTGCATTTTGTCCAAAATTTGGCTATGGGTCTCAGCCTCTGCTTTGATTTCTCTCTCAGTAGAGTCTTTCAGAGGTCCTCTGTGGTAGGCTCCTGTCCTGTTCCTTGCCATCTCCTGCTTCCAATGTCTATCGTGCTTGTCCTTCTGAATGAGGATTGAGCTTCTTCCCTAGGGTCTACCTTGTTGTTTAGATTCTTTGGGAGTATAGATTTTAATATGTCTATCCTATATTATGTGGCTAATATCCACTTATGAGTGAGTGTAAATCATGTGTGTCTTTCTGCTTCTCGGTTTCCTCACTCAGGATGATCTTTTCTAGTTCTCACTATTTGCCTGCAAATTTCGTGATTTCTTTGTTTTTAATAGCTGAGTAGTATTCCATTGTGTAAAAGTACCACAATTTCTGTATCCATTCCTCAGTTGAGGGACATCTGGGTTGTTTCCAGGTTCTGGCTATTATGAATAAAGTTGCTACGAACATGGTTGAGCAAATGTCCTTGTTATATACTTGAGCATTTTTGGATATGTGCCTAGTAGTATTATAGCTGGATCTTGAGGTAGTACTATGACTAATTTTCTGAGAAAGTGCCAGATTTATTTCCACAGTAGTTGTACAAGTTTACATTCCCACCAGCAATGGAGGAGGGTTTCCCTTTCTCCACAACCACTCTAGCATGTATTGTCACTTGAGTTTTTTATCTTAGCCATTCTGATGGGTGTAAGGAAAAATCTCAGGGTTCTTTTGATTTGTATCTCCCTGATGACTAAGGACATTGAACATTTCTCTAAGTGTTTCTCTGCCATTTGATATTACTTTGTTGAGAATTCTCTGTTTAACTCTGTACCTCACTTTTTAAATTGGATTACTTGGTTTGTTGGTATTTAACTTCTTATAGTTCTTTATATATTCTTTATAAAGTTCTTTATATTAGCCTTCTGTCAGATATAGGGTTGGTCAAGATCCTTTCTCAATCTATAGACTGTTCTTTTGTTCTGACAACAATGTCCTTCGACCTGGCTCAGATGTATCTCATAGACTCAGTATCCAAGTGGGGTCCCTACTAAGGGGAGTGGGGACTTTCTCTGACATGAATTCAGTGGCAGGTTCTCTGATAACCTCCCCCTGGGAATACAGCCTTGCCAGGCCACAGAGGAAGACAATGCAACCAGTCCTGATGAAACCTGATAGGCTAGGTTCAATCAGAAAGGGAGAAGGACCTCCCCTATCAGTGGACCAGGGAAGGGACATAAGGGGAGAAGAGGGAAGGAGAGTGGGATTGGGAAGAGGTGAGGAAGGTGGCCATAGCTAGGATACAAATTGAACAAATTGTAAAAAAAAAAAATAATAATAAAAAGAAAAAAAAACTGGTTTGCAGCAGTTTAATTTTTGACACAAGTCAAAGGGTCTAGAAATTTTGTATTAAAAGTGTTTAATAAAGGAAAAGATTCCAACATGGTAGATTTAGAAAGTTGAGTTTCTCAGTTTCAAAAGTGACTTGGGAGTGAGTATATTAGGAAGACTGACTTAGCTTAAGCTAGGTCTTACCTTTTTAAAAAATGTTTTTTGAGATTATAGTTACATCATTTCCTCTCTTCCCCTTCCTTCCTCCAAATCCTCCCATGTATCCCTTGCTCTCTTTCAAATTCATAGCCTTTTCCCTTGTGTGTGTGTGTGTGTTTATCCTAAGTATAAATACAACCCGCTCAGTCTATATAATGTTGCTTGCATGTATATTTTCAGGGACGAGCATTTGGTATTGAAAAACTAAGTGGTATAACCTTCTATGGGGAAGACTATTTCTTCTGTTCTCAGCATTTCTTAGTTGCCTATAGTTTTTTTTTCTAGGGCTGAAGCGTCATGAACATTCCCCTTCCATGTTAGCATTGAACATCAATGGTGGTGCCATACTTGTTCAGGTCATGTTGTTGAGACTTCATTGTTGTCGTTTCTGACATTTCTAGACGACACAATCTCACAGCAAAGTCCCTGTTCCTCTGGCTCTTACAGTATTTTCTCCCTCTTTTCTGCAATGGTCCCTGACCCTAAGGCCATACCTTTACCTAAATAGAAACAAGTGGATCTCAAACAAGGGAGAATAAGTTATTGAGAAACAGCAGGAAAGAGTAAATTGGCACCTGTTCTTTCTAGCCCAATTACCCTCATATTAACTCCCCTGCTTATGAAATAATTTCATTCCCAGGAAAGAAATACTTTATATTCCATAAGCAAATAACCTTTGGATCTCTGAACTCTAATTGCTCTTTTACATGTACATCTTTGCTTCCTTATAGCCCATGGGTCATCAATGTTTGCCTGCAAAAGGCTTAGTGGGCCATTGCTTCTCTAAGTCAACTCCTCAGCCAATCTTTGTAACACAAAAGCAGCCCTAGATAATATGAAAATTAATGGGCATGGCTGTGTAGCAATAAAGCTTCATTTATGGACAATGAAATTTGAATTTCAGATCTTTTTCATGCATTGTGAAATATTGTACTTTTCTCCCAACCAGTAAAAAAATACAATACACATTTTTTTTTTCAAGACAAGATTTTTCTGTGTAGCATTGGCTGCCCTAGACTTGCTTTGTAGACCAGGCTGGCCTTGAACTCACAGATATCTGCCTGTCTCTACATCCCCGAGTGCTGGGATGACAGGTATGCTCTACTGCACTATAATATTCATTTTTAACTCAAGAGGGTGGGCATAATTTGGCCCATGGATCACATGGGATGGGAGATTATCAACTCTCATCTTATGTCCAAATACAGGACCATCTTTGTTCAAGCTTCTATACTCTCAGACGCTGTTACTGCATATGAGAAGGACCACACACTCACTTGGTGAACAAAATGAAGACTGACCTGGGAATAAATTAAGTTGGGGTGAGAGAAGATTTTTTTTAATGTCCATGTTGAAGTTGGAGATTGTGTCATGTGTCTATGGGTCCTTTACCATGGACAGAGAGGCTCTTTTGAAGGTGTTAAGTGATAAAATTGGTTCTTATGAAGGTTTTCTTTTTGTACTATGTTGAACTAGGAGACAGATTGAGAACTTTAAAAAGTGAATATGCTAATTATAAGGCGTATATTTATTTATCTATTTTTCATTTTTTAAGACGGAATTTCTCTGTGTAGCTTTGGCTGTCCTGGAACTTTCTCTGTAGACCAGGCTGGCCTCAAAATCACAGAGATCCACCTACAAGGGTTGTTTAAATACTAGCTCTCAGAAGATCTTCTTGTTGTGTTAGAGAAGATAGGACATACACAAGATAAAAGGGTATCAATGAAATGAGAATGTAAATGAGGGAGAAATGCAATTCTTGGTTGCCCCAGAAGCAAGATAGTAAGGCAGATGATGATATGGAAGCTTGATCAGAAGGGCTTGGCTCTCATGCAAAAGGCACTATTTCTTTGCTACCTTTGTATTATATAAATTCAAAAATATTAAATAGCTTCAAATAACTCAGCCTGATTTTTATAAATGGTGACCCAGCTTTACCATGATACTATCAACTCTATTAAGTACAAACTCACTCTAACATTATACTGGTCTCCATATAATATGTTGAACGTGTGAAATTATTTAATATAGTTTTAATCAGTCTTTGGGTATATGGTACTGTTATATCCAATAATGATATGCTTTTGCTTCCTAACCTGTCAGTGTATACAATCTGAGCACAAATCTTTTGAAGTGATTTTATAATTCCTTGGTCCAAGATGACAACTTTGTTGATAGAAAAAAAGCCAGAAATAATAGACACCAAAGCACACAGAACACCAGAGGAGAGTACAAATCTAATAAGTATTTATTGAGGTCTGCTTTGTGTTCACCATTGCTCAGACCCTGTGAAAGAATACAAACAATTTCAAAGACTGGGCACCCATTCCTCAGGGTCGACATTCAGATGGAATTTTCCTTCATTCCACAGTTAGAGGATAATGGAAGCAAGTTTCTATCAGGCATGTTCCGGGTTCATGGAGTTTCCTGTGCTAGTTGTATATTATTAGGAATGTTGACCAAGCAGTTTGAGAGAGAAAAGTTGGTGTTCTCTACCTGATGCCTGGCTTCTTTACCCTTTGAAGCTGTAATACTAAAGAAGGGACAGTCCATTTCAAGTATTACTGTGAACAAAATACTTGAAATTACATTTCAAGTATTACTATGAAGTGGGTTAATGCAGAAGTCACAGAACATGATGCAGGCCATCTGTCACACATGGAATAAATTGAACAGCAAGCACCATTCTCAGCCTCAGCAGTTCTATCAGCTGACACCACAGATGTCATACCAAATCCAACCCTTGCTTCTAAGATACATTGTTTCATCTGCCAGTTACCCAACGCTTTCTCCATTTACATTATCTCTGGACAGACTGTGAGGCCAAAGGCACATTTCCCTCTTTGACTCTAAGATGAACATCTCTATTAATAAACAAAAAAGATATCAAGTACCAAGGCAGAAATAAATACTGAAAGCAATGTCAGTGAAGATGCCCACTCAAGTCAGATCCTCTTTGGACAACTTTTACTGAATAGATCATAGTTTTGATAATCTAATGACATGTATATAATCTTATATTTGGAGTAGTATAAAGTTAACATTTGCATAAAGTAAAATGACAAGTGTTTTTCTAAAATGATGTCTGAATATCATCACTGTTTTGGAATCCTGCATTACTTTCTCCTTTACCAATGTCCACGGAGTCATAAGGATTCTCTTCTCTTTTTGTTTCATTTTTCCTGTTAAATAAAGCAAAGTTACCTTAATAAAGTGATGTTAGAAAGACACTTACACTAACCCAATAGATGACTATCAAAAAGTTTGATGGCATCCTGGGCTAAGGATGCTGAGCTGAAAAAAAAAATGGGAACTTTCATAAATGAGTGCTATGTGTATACATTAATTTTGTCCCAATGAGAACAATTTAGAAGTGTCGATTAAAATTAGAAGTCATGTGGATTTTAACCTAGCCTTTCACTTTCTAGCATTTATCTTGCATCTGCATTAGAATGCACAGGAAATTGCCTGTACGAAATCATTGTTGTTTTTTTTTAAAATAGACACAAGCATTTGTTAACCATGGAGAACATTGCTACTAAATGGAAAACTACATTACCAGGAAAAAAAGGAAGTGCTTTGCGCAGCCAATCAGGAAGGATCTCTAAAACATATTGTGTGGGAAGAAAAAAAAAAAAAAGAAAAAAAAATCTGGAAATACCTCCAAAACATACTAGGCAAGAAATAAAAGTATGTAGTATATAGTTCATAAACATTAAAAACTGATAACTTTGGATGAAAGGCAACTCAAAAACAAAGAATGGCAAAGGAATCCTATGACCCCTTTGTATTTTGACAATTTTAACCATGTGACTGCACCACCTAGAAAATGTTTTCTGAGCATCTGCATATGTGTGTATATGTTCATGTGTGTAAGTGGGGGTGCACGTGTGCTACTGTGCACATGTGGAGATCAGACAACAACCTCTAGTGTTGACTCTCAACCCCAACTGTGATTGAGATGGGGTCTCTGTTGTTTCTCTGCTGTGTACGCCAGGCTAACGGGCCTGCCAACGTCTAGGGCTTTTTCTGCCTCTGCCTTGAATCAACCTAGCATTCCTGCCCCTGGTTTTCAGATTTGCTATGCGGATTCAAACTCAGGTCCTCATACTTGTATGGTAGGTGATTTTACCTATCCTCACGGCCTTACTTTTTAAAAGTAGGTTATTTGGTAGAATTGAAAAAAAAAATCTCAATTAAATAAAATAGACTAATTCATGTAAAGATTCATCTGAGAGTATTTTAGTATGAACTAAAATGATAAGGATTTTGAGTCACCCAAAAAGAAAGCCCATCTTAGGACTCATTCTCAGGTGACAGTAGAGTTCAAACTCCTCATCAGCTCCTCCTCCTCTATGTTTGAAGCAAGGCTCATCAGTGAGGACAATCCCTTACAGAGTTTGCAGTCCCGATGTGACACTGTGGATACAATGCACTTTACTAGAGCATGCCAATAAACCCCAGGCTGCACATCTAGTATGTGAGCTTAGGAGGGTTAAGAACTGATAAAATTTGGCTTGTTTCGAAGAGATACATTAGAATACTTAGGGATAATTGTCCACATAAGTAATTGGCCTATGTATATACAGTGCTATTTATTGCCACTTTTTCCAATTCATGCTTTCTAAAAGACAGAAGGAAAGGACACTTACTTCTTTCGATCTTTGATCCCAGAGATGATCAGGATAAAAATGCCAACCACTACAATTCCCATCACAACGCCAAAAACAATCAGCCATACGGTGACAGGAGGCTGGTAAGGTGGTTCAAGTGTTGGGTGAATCCCCAGAAACTCCAGGCTGTTATCATCCAGCCTGAAAATATCATTGATGCGGCCCCGAGACATCCTATTTTTAAAAGAAAAATGTATTAAAGAGAATGCTTAGACCAAATAAAATTCTGCTAGTTATTTCCTCCTTAATGCCATGGTTCCCAAAAAGATTTAATAAGACTTATCATAAGAATGTACAGTTAGAACTTTGTGCAGCGGTCCATGTCTGTAAAGCCAGTACTCTCGAAGCAAAGGAGAAAGGATTACACGAATCTGAGGTCAACTAGCTCTGCATAGCAAGCTCTAGGACAGCCAGGGGAACATATCAAGACAGTGTCTTTAAAAAAAAGCCACAGAAATATACATCTAAAATAACAATAAAATTGATGTAGATAGGGCCAATGGAAAGATGCATTTTAACAGTTATGACCCTTTCATACCTGGTAATCTGAATTAGGTCTATCAACAACCTTATTCGAAGTTTGAGTTAGAAATTTAGAAATGGGGTAGGGTGGAGAAATGGCTCAATGGTTAAGAGATTGGTATTGCTCTTCCAAAAGACCTAGGTTTGGTCCCTAATATCCACATTGGGCAGCTCATGAGTGCCTATAACTTCAGTTCCAAGGGATCTGACACCCTGTTCTTGCCTCCACAGGCACTGCATACATGTAATACACGTGCAAACATGCAGGCACATACACTGAAATGTTCAGAGAATAAAGTTATACAAATCAATAGGCTTCATTGTAAAAAGAAAGAATTTCAGAATGAACAAATGCCTAGTATTTATTCACTTATGAGTACTGCATTTTAAAGGCACAGTTAAGATATTTGGCAAGAATTTCTAAGTTTTCAGTGTGTATCTAAAATGACCTTACAGATAGTCAGGTGGCAGCAGTGGCCCACACCTTTATTCCCAGCACTCAGGAGGCTGACATAGGTGGATCTCTATGAGTTTGAGGCCAACCTGATCGACAGAGCAAGTTCAGGTAAGGCTACAGAGAGAAACTCTGTCTTTAAAAGCCAATTAATTAAAATTACTTTACAGAAAAGCATAACTGAATTCCCTTTTTTTTCTGTCCATAGACTACAGTGTCTGGCACCACAGCCAGACACCTTTCTATGGGTATAGCTCAGGTGAGACGGTCAAATGCCATCGGAGAACAACCGGCCAACTTAGACTTAGTCATAGCCCCTGTCAACCTGAAGAGTTTCTTTCATGACGATCCCAGAGTTTTGTCTAAGGTTGAGTCTAGTCTTTTTGGAGGAGGAGAATGAATCTCTGGGCATGATTTCATACACCTAAAACCGGCCACACGTTTTCGAAGCACACCCAGCAGGTCTGAGATCTGGTCTCAAGGGTAAATGGGATTCCTGGTGTAGCTCAATAGTGCCACCTAGTGAGATGCCAGGTAGCCAGGTTCTCTCTCTCTCTCTCTCTCTCTCTCTCTCTCTCTCTCTCTCTCTTCCCCCCACTGCTCCCCCTCTCTCTCCCTCTCCATCTCCCAGTCTCTGTCTCCGTCTCTCTTCCTCCCTTCCTTCCTCTCCCTTCCTCCCTTCCCCTTCCCTCCTCCCTCCCTTCCTTTCCAATGACAAAGAGAAACAATCTTTGTTTGGAACAATCTTGGAATGGAAGAAACTATCTTCCCTTCCTGCTATCTTGTGTAAAACAGCAGAGGCAAACTGGACAAGGTGTTTCTTGTGACTAATCCCTATTTCATAGTAAATTCTTCTCTTAGTGTGGAAGACAACCAGTGTAAAAGGAACCTGATGTTTGCCTGCCTTATTTCCTGCTTTGGGCAGTTCAATAACATGCCTGTAACAAATGGCGGCAGTGTGTACCCATTTCCCTTCTGCACTTTCCAAACATGCTAGCCAAGCTTTCTTTCGTGAGAAATTTCTTCCCTTTGCCTGAGACCATTGTCAAGCTAGAGAGACCAGGGGATGAGTGTGACCTGGAAACAGCTCTCAGACAATGACCAGTGAGAAGTAGTGACTATCCCAGCTCCCTCGGCCCTCAGCTGAGACAACTCAGGCGCACATTTGACCATTTACAAGAGTTGCAAGGCAGGACTGGGTTCTAGTTTCTGACAGTGGTAACTTGCTTTTAACTTGGAATCTGTCACCTCTCCCCACTTCTCGATAAGTGCCTTTTGGCACTGCCTCCCAAATGAACGGCTTAGGTCTAAATCTCTGTCTAAGGACCTGCACCTGGACAGTCTCCAATCCAAAAAGGTCTCTTGCTATTTGAGTCTCATAAAATTAAAACCCAATCTCTTCCTTTCTTTGTGTGGCCAAAGAGATGGTTCAGCCAGCCAAATGCCCGCTGCGTAAGCATGAGGAGCTGAGTATTGCTCCCCATCACCTACATAAAAAGCTAGGTAGTAGCCAGTACATGTCCACTCCAATGCTGAGGGTTGGGGGAGATGGGGGAGAAGCTCACTTGCCAGTCTAACTGAGTTGATTGATATTGGGTTTAGTGAGACGCCATGTTTCAAAGAACAAGGTGGTGACAGGTCAGAAAAGACATCTAATGACAACCTCTGGCTTTCACATGTGCAACCGTGTCACATGTACACACCCATACATAAATTCATCCATATACCACAGAACAACAGCAATAACAACAACCCATGTTTCGAGACGAAGTAAAACATGTAAATGACTTTGAATGATGTTCGGCAACACAAAAACATTGCACCAAACGTCAACTATTGCTGCGTTAGCTAACCCCTTCTCCTTTATATGGTTTGTTTGAAAGTAAAACATCACCTGATGGCGTCTTCAACTTCACTTCTAGGAATGATGTTAGACACATTTTGGGGTGAAGTGACAAAGAACTTGAAGGAGACTCTTGGTTTCAGATCACTCACCCATACATTTTCCTCCCTTTGGAAAAAACAAAACAAAAGAAACATGTTTTCTTCTTTCCTAATGCAAGAATGCATTAAAGAAAGGAAGTCCTCCCCCTTATGATAAAAAAGGAGATTAGAGGAAGGCTCCTGTATGAGGAGATACAGGGTAGGGCAAATTGCGGAAAGAAAGAATTGACCAAAGTGTTTTACACTATCCAAAGCACATGAAATCAATTGCATAAAAGTTGCAATGCCCCACAATCTAAAGTGGTGGTTCAAGACTCTAGTCCAAGCACTTAGGAAGCAAAGGCAAGCAGGTATCTGTGAGTTCAAGACCAGCCTGATCTACAAATCAAGTTCCAGGACAGCCAAGGCCATTAAACAAAGAAACTCTGTCTTGAAAACACACACACACACACACACACAGAGAGAGAGAGAGAGAGAGAGAGAGAGAGAGAGAGAAACAGACTAAGACAGACAGAGACAGAGACGGAGACAGAGAGAATAGAGACAGAGAGAGACAAAGAAACAGACACAAAGAGAGAGAGAGAGACAAAGAGAGCGAGAGAGCAAGATCACAAATCATTGGTGACCTAAGAGTATGAGAAGCAACATGGTAGACAGTGATGTCTTAGTGTCACAGACAGAGACACAGTGTTAACATTCTCTAGCTTGGCCTCATCCAGCAAAGCATTGTGTAGAGTCTGTGGAGGAAGGTAAAATTAGGGATTACTACACAATGTGACAAGGCCATGCTCGCATGGCTACCAGTGTGGTCCCAGTAAACAGTAAAATCATTGAGGATGTCTATAGTCCTTGAATGACTACTTGACATTTCCAAATGCCAAAGTCCATGGAATGGCCTTGAGGCCCAAATGAACTTACTTGGATCATTTTCACCCACCTACCCTGCCCCAACATTACCCTTAGCACAATACCTATTTGCCCTGGAGTAGATGCTTCCCCACCCACAACAGCCTTCTTGTTTTTCCTTTGGCAGTCAATGGGTATTACTTCATTGGACTTTGAGCCTCCTGTTCTCTTGGCGGAACACTTTCTCCCATTGTCTGCACTGATGGCCTTTCTGCTTCTCTCTCTGCTTCTTAATATTAGTGATGGCCTTTCCAACCAACTCAGTTAAAGCGGAACATTCCCTGGCTATATCTTACTGTATTTTTCTCCATAGCACACATTTACCTATTTCTCTCTCTCTCTCTCTCTCTCTCTCTCTCTCTCTCTCTCTCCCTCCCTCCCTCCCTCCTTCCCTCCTTCCCTCCTTCTATCTCTGTCCTGATAAAACCCCAAGAAGGCAGGAATTTCTGGGGTTTTTTCTTACTTTTACTACTAAGGGTGGGGTGAGTGTGTATGGACACACACACACACACACACACACACACACAGAGAGAGAGAGAGAGAGAGAGAGAGAGAAATTTAATAACAGCAATGTTTGTGAAATTTACAAGTTAAACCAAAAGCATCCTAAAAGGAAGTGACACAAATTCCAGAATGCCAAATAAGTTTTTGGACTATGCTTATGCAAGCAACCCTAGTTAAGTTTAGTGTACCCCAAATAAATAAAACAACAATTAAAAAAAAAGTACAAGGGTAGGAGGAAGAAGAAAGGACTCCGTGGGAGTCAGATGAGAAAAATATAAAATACAGTATTTACATATATTAAATTGCCAAATAATTAAAAAATGTAAAGAATAAAGTCCACTTGGATATTCTCCTTGATTTCACTTGAAGAAAGTTTAAGTATGTCTTCTCAGGCTCTAGAGTAGTGGAGAGGCACTATCTATAGAACCTAGCAAATCAACTCACCTAAAAGGAACTGTCTGGTTTTTGACCTCTGAGAAGTACTTTCTCATGGCATATGCAACAGATGATTGGAACAGGTACATTTCATTGTCAGTCCATTCATACTGAAAATTCAGAAGAAAGACATCAATCACTTGGTGGGTGGGTGGGGGCATAGAACAGAGGAAAATGAGAGGGTCCTCATCACTATTCCAAGGATTCTGGCCATCAAGTCTGTGCCCTTCAATGAGAGCATGAATCTGCATTCGGCGTTGGAATAGTTTAACCTCACTAGTGATTCTACCTGAAGAGGTTCTGATTTAGAAAGTCTGGAATGAGACCCAAAGATTTGCATATCTACACCAGTGCTAATACTGCTGGTCAGACAACCATCCCTGCTTCAGGGACCATGGGGCCCACCAGTTCTTTCACTTTGGTTTGATATAAATTAAAACAAGAACTCTAAAAATAGGTTTTATAGATGGGGGACAACCCGAAACTTTGCATTCACTGTATTTTGTAGGCAACTAAAGCTAGCTTTTACTGTTTTGATAGAAACTTCTCAGCTATTTGAGCCATGCGTGGTAGTGCACACTTTACTGGCAGCTTTAGAGAGGTAGGGGCAAGATAATCAAAATGTCAAGGGAAGCCTTGGCTACATGACAACTTCAAGGCCAGGTTGAGATATAAGGAATCTTAAAACAAACAAACAAAAACCCAGCTTGTTTGTGTGTTTGCACAGTCTGGTAGAAGGTTAGAAAGTGGAAAGGTTTAAATTCACTATTTCCTCCACTAGCTGGCAGTAGAGAGCAATAAATGGCACCAGAGTTTACTTTCTCCTTTCCCTTTCAGAGAAAAAGCAACACAGAAACTTACAAAAGAATGTTCATGCAGAAAGGGGAGGGAGGGTGGGATCGGGAGGGGAGGAGGGAGGGGCTTATGGGGGGATAGAAAATGAATAAAGTGTAATTAATAAAAAATTTAAAAAAAAATAAAATAAAATAAAAAAAGAATGTTCGCTTAAGCCTGGCTTTACCCAGATATGCGAAGCATGAGTTTTTAAATAATGATATGTCAATGCTATCTCTAGTAATTCTCTGGCTAGTACTTCTATAATTTAAAACATTTAAAAGCTAAATTCGTAACATGATGCAATAATTCCAGTTGATGTCCAACATGAACTGACTTGAAATGGGCAGATACTTCAGTCCTGCTGCACATGGATACTGAAAATACATCTCACTCAGTGATCGGCTTCTGAATGTCACACCATCAAATTTGCATGGAGACTGAACATGGGAGCAAATAGCCAGACATGATATTTGAGAAGTTTCCTGATCTGCCAGGAGTAATTTCAATTTATTAGGCCAATGAAGAACTAATAAAGATAAATACCCTCTTGAGCCTACAGTGCACATTAAGAAATAGCGATGCAGCCATGTGCGGTGGTGCGTGCCTGTAATCCCAGCATTCTGGCAGAGGCAGGCGGTTCTCTGTGAGTTCTGGGCCAGCCTAGTCTATAAAGCAAATCCAGGACAGCGAAGGCTACACAGAGAAACCCTGTCTGGAAAAACATAGAGAAAGAAAGAAAGAAAGAAAGAAAGAAAGAAAGAAAGAAAGAAAGAAAGAAAGAAAGAAAGAAAGAAAGAGAGAAAGGAAAAAAGAGAGAAAGAAAGGAAAGAAAAGAAAAGAAAGAAAGGGAGAGAGGAAAAAGAAAGAGAGAGAAAGAAAAAGAAAGAAAAAGAAAAAAGAAAGAGAGAAACTAACAATGCAAAATCAGAGTTGAGAAGCAATGGACTTGAGTTTCTACAATTTCTTTCTGATAGCCTGCTCTTTTCTAATGAGAGCCAGAAAGGGAGTAGGTCTTGATGGGAGAAACTGAGAGGAGTAGAGGGAGGGGAACCGCAATGAGAATATAGTGTATGAGGACAACCTATTTTCAATAAAAAAGAAAATTGCTTTCTTCTGTTTCCATTTGTTAACGACTGTATTATTTATATTTTGGTGTCTTATTTATAAAATTATAGCAAAACTCTGTTTCAAGTCTTGGGAAATCTTTCACTTATCAGGAAATGGGGATGTAGAAATGGAATCTTTGGCTCTATACCATGACACGACGATTTTCTGCTGCACATTGGACTGGTTTATCTCATTGTACCAGGTTGACTTCTAAACCTGCAAAGCTTTCAAGTTTCTAGGACACACCTAAGCTGCTGATCTCATCGACCTGAGACAGCATGTCCTCTCCTCTTTCTTAATCAACGCTATTACTGAAAATGAGACTATTGGGAAATAGGAAGGGGAAGAGTGGAGGTGTGGTTGGGGAAGATAGTGAGTGAATGAAGGGGTGAATTATCGTCAAAGTAAATTATATAAATATATGTAAATCTCACAATGAAATTCATTTTGTACAATTACTACATACTAATAAAATTTGTCTTTTTTTTAAGCTTGTATTTCCCAGGGCTAGTTCTTAGGGATGAGAAATAACTAAAGGTATAAGTAATAAGATTTTCTATAAAATATTTTGTTACCCTAAAGTGCATCTCTAAGTCAATAATTCTCAAACATGGCTGTACTTAAAACTTCTGAGAGATTTAAAAAGTCTTTAAAATTTTTAAATGTACTTATTTTCTGTGTATTAGTGTTCTGCCTGTACCATGTTTGTGCCTGGTACCTATGGAGATTAAAATAGGACACACGAACCCCTGGAATTGGGGTTATGAATAGTTGTAAACCACCATAGGACTGCAGGGATCCAAACCTGGATTCTCTGCAAAAGGCGTAAGTGTTTTTAACTGCCAAGCTAACACCCAAGCTCCAGGTTTAAAATGAGGCTGGGAATGGTGGTGCATGCCCTTAATCTAAGTACACAGGAGGCTCCCTGTGAGTTCAAGGCCAGCCTCATCTACATAGTGAGTTCCAGGCCAGCCATAAACCTTGGTGTGACACTCAAGAGCAATTAAACCAGCGTCTCTCTGGGGGAAGCTCATGTACTCATATTTTGAAGACTTCCCATGCAGTTCCATTGTTGAGCCAAGTTTGAGAATCGGAGTTTCCTAGTCGTTGCCATGTATACAAGCCATACAGATGGCTTACAAAAATGAGGGTCTTGATTAAGTAGGTGAAGGATTGGGTTCTGAGATGCTACACTTTTAACAAGCTTCCAGATTTGACTGTTTTGTTTTTGGTTGTTGTTGTTTTTGTTTGTTTGTTTTGCCCACAAACCATACTGTTAATAAAACTAGGATGTAAATAATTAAGAAAGCAAAACCAACCAAAAACCTAAGAAAAAAACAACCCCTCATCATATAACCATATGACCACGACCTTCAGTACAAGTCATAGTGGTAAGTCAATTGGCAAAGTGGGTGTTTGATAATTAAGGATCAGTACAGCTGTTTCTGCACAGATATTCATAACACATTCAAGGTCACAAATGAAAAGTAGACATTACCTATCCAATAAGAGATGGATTACAAGATAAAAGGAAGAAAGGAAGGGAGGGGATGGGGAAAGGAGTCAGTTGAAGGCAAGAGATGGGGTTTTTAGTTTAAGAGACCCATGTGGTCTCCCCTTATTTAGACCATGCTGGAATGAGATTTCAAGGGAAGAGAATGCACTAAAGAACAATAGAATTACCATTTAAAATATACTCACTGCATTATTTCCAAGAGCTGACTTTAGGCTTATCCTCACTTTAATGCTTTGGTCGTCATCTGATTAAAGAGAAATTTCAGGCACTTGGTTTATGTAACAGACTAACCGTACATTTATTTTTTCACATTCCAAGATTGCACCACGGTGACAATAATAGGATTTCTTTCAAAGGTAAAGATACAGCTTTTACAGAATGATAAATGATGAGAAACTTGTAACTGCTTTCTAAGAGGACTCTAAATCATTGCTTGATGTGGACACAGAAAAGATTACAGGCCAAAGGAGAGAGAATCCTAGAGAAAGCTTAGAATTTGGATACAGCTAAGGTGGGAAGAGAATAGGAAATGATACTGAGGTTGTGGCTAAGCCACTTTGGAAAGGGCATGGTTTTGCACACCGTTATCACTCAGACAGCCAACTGGAACTTGTTCTCTACCAGAACAAGAAGTAAACCTGGAAAGAAGATATGGAACCCAGGAAATGGGATTCAACCCAGAAGAACCGGGAGATGATTATGAAGGACAATTATGGCCCATGTTAAGATGGAGTATGTAAGACTCCAAGGGGAAGTTCCTAGGCAGGAAAATGGAGGCGGAAAAGAATAGATGTTTTCTACTAGTTGGTAATAAAGAACTGCTCTGTTTGATGATGAACTGTGTATGCCAAAAACTGAAGTGAGTAGAAACTGATACAGACAAGCCACTTAAAAAAGGATATGGCATAATGTGCTATGTGGCTGTGCAGGTAGCCAGATATAAATTTTAATAACAGCTTTACTAAAAAAAGAATATGTTAGGGGAGCAGCCTTACCAGGCCACAGAAGATGACAATGCAGCCAGTCCTGATGTGATCTGATAGACTAAGATCAGAAGGAAGGAGAGGAGGACCTCCCCTATCAGTGGACTTGGGAAGGGGCATGCTCAAAGAAGGGGAAGAGAGGGTGGGACTGGGAGGGGAGGCTTATGGGGGCATACAAAGTGAATAAAGTAATTAACAAAAGTTAAAAAAAAACTTTACTGAGATAATAAACAATGGAAGTGTAAGAGTAGGTAGGAGAGGAGTTCTAAGATTGACTGATAATAAGACAGCAAAGGAAACAAGGTTCTAGAGAGATGAATGTGTCTGTCAAAAACACACGGTCTAGCTGATGACAGTGTTTTCCTTAGGAGAATGTCCTGGTTAGGACATTTTTGTTTTGTTTTGTTTCTTTGTTCTGTCAACTTGACACAGCTAGTGTTATCTGGGAAGATGAACTTTAATTTAAAAAAAGTCTCCATCTGATTGGCTACTGATTGACATGTGAAGTCCCAGAACACTGTGGGCAATGCCACTCCTGAGCAGGGAGTCCTGAAAAAAAATCAAGCTGAGCAAACGATGGAGAACAAACCAGTAAGCAGTTTTCCTCTATAGCCCTTCTTCAGCTCCAGCCTCCAGATTACTGCTTTGAGTTTCTCACTATGGACTTGAAGCTGTAAGCTGAAAAAACCCTTTCCTCTCCAGTTTCCTTTTGATCAAGGTTCTTATCACAGCAACAGGAAGCAAACGAGGTCAAGGGCAGTAGGAAAGTGCTATACTGAGGACATGAGACTAATAAGAACATTTAACAGCTTGTGACATAGTCTAAAAGAGAGTGAACACAGAGTCAGCTGTGCTACAGCCCCTTCAAGGCTGTAGCTAAAGGACACTAAGAGAAGCAAACAAGGAACAATGTACAATGTAGGTACAGTCAGTGAACTCACATGGACTCCAGTCAGTGTTCCACCCCACAAAAGAATTTCTGTTCTGCTCTTTCAGCCAGTTAAGCAATGGGTGAAAGTAATTCAGCAGAGGTCTTACATCCATATTCCTGGCTCCTACCACATTTTCCAATGCTAGGGTCCAGGGTTCTGATTTTCCAAGAGACAGCATATTGCTACACGAAAAATGACAGAATGCAGGTCAGTTTTGAAGGGTTTCAGATGAGCATACCTTTGCACCTACACTCTGTATACTTCTTTTCTTAGAACTGGCTAAATTATCTTCTGGCAGTTTGAAAAATGAGGCATTTTTTTGGATGGAAAGGAAATTTCAGATTCAAGCCTCAATCTCTCTATCCTTCCAATTGCTTAAAAGAGAGCCCTATCGTTGTCACATAGAGACAGGAGGTAGCCCATACAGGCATCTCATGACCTAGGTTCCTGTCTCATCCCAAATCCAACATTTATTTCATGGGATGTTTGGAGATATTCTGAAGTCCTAATTTTTGGCTGGGAAGGGTAGACAAAACCAATTAAATTAAATCATAGGCATGGGAATTAATAATATGGGATGCTAAAAGAGATTCAGTATTTTGAGCATTTCTTACAGCAACTTCTGCCCAGCTTCAGTGGAATTGGAGATGTCACATTTGTGCAGTGGGCCATCCTGTTTAGCTGCTTGACAAAGGGCTTCTTGAAACTGGAATTGATAAATGGTCCTTGTATAATATCTGCAGAAATGACAAAGGAACAAACAAAAGAAGGCTCGTGTTTTATTGTTATAGTAGAGTAGAGATCCAAGCGAATATTTACATCCCTGGCCCAAGTCATCCCAGAGGTATTGGCTTAAAAGTCTTCCTCTAACCGTCGTCTGCCACGAACTCTTGAGATGCACACCACACTGTTTGCAGTGCATATATTTGATGACAGAGCTGTGTTGCTACTCTGTCACAGGGTTAGTCACATTTGCATTGCTAACAGACTTATAGCCCTTTCCTATAAAATGGTGTCAAGCGGGTCCACAGGCCTGATAAGTAATATTCCCATTCTTACAAATACACAAGGTAAGGCCCACACATGCCTGCATCCCAGTATTCAGTTGGTCAAGGCCAGCCTGGAACATGTAATAAGTCTCTGTCTCAAACAAAAGACAAAATAACAATAGTAGAATACTCTTTTGATGTATAGTAAACTCGGCTAGCGAGAAAAAAATGAACTGAAAGTATTTTTTTCTGCTTCACTAACTGGTCCTGCTGTGCTGGTTGGTTGTTTTGTTTTGTTTGTCAACTTGACATGAACTGGAGTCATCTAGGAAGACGGAACCTCAACTGAGAGAACACTTCATTTAGATTGGCCTCTCAGCATGTCTGGGGAGTGTTTTCTGGATCGATAATTGGTGTGGAGGAGGTACTACCCATGGGCAGGTGGTCTTGTGAGGTACAAGAAGGCAAGCTAAGCCAGCCATGGAGAGCAAGCCAGTAAGCAGTGTTCCTCCACAGCCTCTGCTTCAGTTCCTGCCTCCAGGTTCTCCAGCAGTGCTTGAGTTTGTGCCTTGTCCTCCCTCAGTGATAGATTGGGATTGGGACAAAACCAACACTTTCCTCTCCAGGTTGCTTTCGATCACAGTGTTTACTAAAGCAGTACAAAGCAAAGTGGGACAATCCTTAACAATGGGCCAAAGATCTCTTAACAGTTTCTTTAACCTGATAAAACATGTCCCATTAAATTGAATTGAAACTGATCACCTACATTAAGCTTAGGGTAGGAGATAGATGGAAAGGCCTTGTAACTATCACCTCTTTGAGACCCTGTTTATGTTTTTCGTCAGGAGCCACCACTATCCTTTTCAACCCTAGACAGTAAACAGAGAGAAAAAAGCCGCCGTTTACCGGATGAATGAGAAATCATTAGAGACATGGAATAAGGATGCAGGGTCACAGTATGTTTCATCATGAGGCAGAGGCTCTACCACACCAACGATCTCTCGCCTTGGGAAGAAAAAGGAAGAATACGTTAGTTGGGGGTGGACAATCACGAGAAGTGAGATCAGAGCTCAACTAGAGCAGTTTCACACGGCAGTCCTATTTATACTGGAACTGACTTTCAATTGAAATAAAAAACACTGTAAGAATCAGAAAGCAAAGTCTCTTGTGTGCTTTTCTCATATTGCCTTCCTTCAACCAAAATACACCATTGAAAAAAGAGCTATCTCTTCAAAAGTCTATAAATTACATTTCATAGCTGTAAATATTCTGTGAAAACCCTATAAATGCCTACCAGAAGTCACACATTATGTGCCCCTATTGGACACAATTGTGTAAAATTGAAATCTTACTCTTCAAAGCTAATTCAAAGGCTTCTTCTATTCTGTGAATCTTGTCACCGCCTTCCAATGCAGTTAATCTCTTAAGCCCCCCTCAAGAGTCTGGGTCCTCTTTTAGGAATGCTTTAGTGGTAGTTATTAATTATATCAGCTAATGGTTCTCATACCTGTATGGAATATACTCTTATCACCTTCAACCCCTTATTATCATAGTCTGTCACCCCTTTTCACTGCTTTCCTTCCTCTGCCTCTCAACTCTCCTACTTTCATGTATTATCTCTATTGCTTTCTTTAATTCTTTGCCATTTCTCTTCCTGTGCTGTGGTTTTTCACATGAAAACTCCCCCTTGCCACTGAGACATGAGCTCTGAGAGGATGAAGCTGTGTCTTAGCTACCTTTCTAGTTCTAGTGCTAAATACTGTGCAGGAACACTAAGGAGAAACTTCACTTCCAATTGACAAATGACCAAGTGAGCAGTCAATACATTGATTGATTACTTGAAAGGTCTCATTCCATGTTCATTTAAAATAAATTGGCAAGAATTCAAAAGTTAGCCCAGTAAGAAAAAAAGTAGGAAAGCCATGTAGCCTTTATTTTGGGACATTATTTAAAAAGAAAATAGTTTTGTCCTTTATTATTGAGATTTTTTTTTAGGCAATTTGGATCATTGTGGACAGCTTCACTTATACATAAACATTAGAAAGACCCCTAATTAATTACACATTTCTTGTTTTACCCCTTGGAAAAAGACTCTTGAAACAATATCCTGAGATGATTTCAGGAAAAATGACCAAATGGGTGAGAATGAAAACAGGACTCCTCCCAAACAGATGTGTTATCAAGCATATCAGTAATATAAGTAATGTGAGCTGGTTCCCCCCTGAAGAAGTCTGGGACTCTGTGGACAGTACTCATCACAAGAGCTAGTCCACAGGAAAGCAGAGGAGCTAAGGTAGTTATCCAACCAGCCCATCTGACATTGGTTGAGGACTGATGGGGACGAACTTAGTCTTTCAGGCCCTCCTGCCATTTGTGGGTTCAGGTGACCTCATAAACCCTCTCCTTAGGTAATGAAATAAAGATACATTTGTGTGTGTGTGTGTGTGTGTGTGTGTGTGTGTGTGTGTTGTGTCTGTTTGTGTCTCGGTTTGTGTTTAGGTGGAGGCTAGCAAATGCTTTTAATTAAATAGTAAACCCATGAGAAAACATTTTGCGGCTTGTGAATTCGTTGACTTACTTCATCTCCCACCACTTTTTCATCCACTGCTCTTTGGGAATTTCACCCTTAAAGACCATCCACCTCCACTTCTCTAACATGTAAGTGAATGGTAGCGTTCCAACAATTGTCAGTGCTTGTTTGAGTAGAAAGTTTATTTCTGTTTCTGGAAGTAAAATGGAAAAGACCAAACATTAAGAAAGAAATTAAAGCAGAAGTTTTGTCAGAGAACTTTCCTAATCTCAAGTTATTATTCCTCCTCAAAATGGACTTATGGGATGATTACATAAGAAATATTGGCAGTGGACATTAACAGTGTGTATTACGTATGTATTGTCCCAGGTGATGGATTTGGAGTAGGATAAAGCCCTGAAATAGAACAGGAAAGTAAAAATCCACAAACTAACTAACCCTTACTTTTTGCTAGTTTCAATTGCCTTCTTTAAATATCCCCTTATCAGAGTTAATTAGGGCAATTACACATATTTTCCCAGTCATACTGTTTATTCTTGTGAGCTCCATGCAGGCAGTGACTGTTAATGTCTCATTCAAGACTGTATGCCCAGTTCAGTGCCTGCTTTGTAATGCCCTCTGTGAGTCCTTAGTAAATAAGCAAACATTAGATAGATGTGGGGAAACCTTGTAAACTAGGGTGGGGAAAATTCTTTAAATATTGTTCTTTTGCACAATAGGCTGGCTACATACGTGACAATAATGTCTTGTACATTTCAGAAAGAGGTCTATCAGTGACAGAGTGTTTGCCTAACATGTTTAAGACCCTCAGTTTCATTTCCAGCACTAAAAAAGAAAAAAAGAAAAAGAAACTAGAGAGGAGGAACCTCAAAAATGTCAAGATTGGACAATGATGTCTGTAGATATAGATATGTTTGCTATAATGTAAACATCACATGATATATACATATATCATAACATCATGTTACTCCATTAACATATACAATACTTATGTTTTTATACATTTGCTAAAAATAAATGTAAGCCAAAAAATAAATAGACATATCTAGAGAGTATCATCCACTGGATAATCAAAAGTACACTGTTCTTTAAATGGACTGATTTCTTCCTTTGCAAGAATAATAAATCTTTACAAGTTATTAAGAATATTAAATCATTACGAGTTCATTAGTCTAAAAAGGAAGGAGAGCTGACCTCCAGAACAGCACAGAAGATTGCTCAAATGTAAATACAAGGGTTATTAAGTACTCTGTGCATCACTATATTTCTAGGGGAAAATGTCTCACATATTGTAAGTGCTAAATATATTTGTTTAGAAAAATAAAGAGACTGACACACGGGTTCATGCCTAGAATCCTAAAACTTAAGAGGCTGGGGTAGAAAGTCTGCTGTGAATTCCAGAACATTCCTAACTACAGAGTAAGACCCTGTCTTCAAATTACAAAACATACACACTCCAAAAAACGAAAAAGAAAAAGAAAAAAAAAAAAGAAGGTCAAGATGAAGGGAGGGAGGAAAAGAATAAAGGAAACTATTGGTTTAACATAATTTACAAATCAAGGCCAGAGCCAAGCTAGTGCTTTTATTATGTAACATACATCATAAGAAACATAATGATTTAATAATCTTTGCCTATTCTCAAGGCACATGTGAAAAAACCCACAATGCAAATCATTGTTCATTGGCATGAATGAATCATATTTTAAAATTAGGAAGCAGGTATGGTTACCATAAACTGCCTTTCCCATGTTGCTTTCTTCATCAAAAAGCACCACTACCGGTTTATAAACTGGTTTATAGGGTTAATACTGACTATTTCAGACATGATGATGGCCCTCCACTAGCCTACTCCCAGGCCGCAAGAGCCAGGAATCAAGACAATGTGAATTGTGCACACAATGATGTAAGCCATGACCTTGACTTCATTGACTAGCTGTTTCATACCTGAGAACCAAGGCTTAGATCAAATGGTAACTAAGTGCAGTGGGCTACAAAGAAACAAAAAGACATGAAAATAGGAGGGAGATTTGTTGGAAAGCATGGGTTTGGAGAGAGGGGAAGGGAATAAGAAAGGAAATGATAGAGAAGAAGATTGAAGTACACTTTCATAGATGCATGTATATATAAGATGAAGAAATAAGTTAAATAAAATGAATTAATTACAGAACTTAAAAAAATTATTGAAAAGATGGATGAGTGATTCATGAAAGAAGTGAGGGTATTTGGCTCTGTTTTCCCTTTGCAAAAGCCATGGCAACCTCACTGGAAAATCAGGCTCCCTGAAAAGTTGCAGTGTTTCATCAAGCACAATTCCCTCCAAAAAGTGGGCTGCCTCAGTCATTGATGTTGAGGGACAGCATGGGTCTTTTACTCACATTCCTTCTTTGAAAAATAGTTTCAGAATGACCTGTTCCCACTCTAACATTCTGGGGAGGTTGTTTATTTGTTTGTTTGTTTTGAACTTAAAATGACAGCCAACTATTAAAAATCCAGACACTGATTATCTTCAATACCTGGGACAACCATTTAGTTCTGAGGGTTATTTCAGCATCTTCAGAAAGTCCACCAAGCTTCTATTAGATCATTCTTAGATCATTTATTCAGTTATCTCAATTTCTTGTTTAAATATACAATTAAAAATTGGCATAATCTAATCCACACTTAAAAAAACAAAACAAAACTTTTTTTTTTTTTTTTTACCAGTAGCAATCCCATAAGCAGTTTTTAACCTAGGTGGCATAAAGCAAAACAAGTATTTTCCCATAGAGGATAATAAATACATTTCCACATATCAAATTACCCCCAAAACAAATGAATGAAAAATGTACCACTGTCTTCCTGAAAACTGGATGGCAGAAGACCAATTGATTTCAGATGCTCTGGGGTAGCTGCGGAAAGTGACATGATTTCCCCAACAGCTTCATGGAACCCTTCATTGGCTCCATTTCTTAGCAGGAAAGGTTGTATGGCATATGCCATGTCGTATTGGATGTGTCCCATCTCATGATGGGCTGTCAGGAAGTTGTCCATTGTGACCTTTGTACACATCTTGATTCTGCATAAAAAATGGACAAGGTTAACACAAATCTTACTTTGTTTATTTTAATCACTATAGCAGAATTTTGTAGGGGATTGGGCAACATGAAGATTTATTCACCATTGAGGTTTTAAAATTTGCCTCTTATGAGCCAGTTACAATATAAAGTGAGGGATAAGGCTAAATCTTATTCTTGTACTCATACACTAATAGAATGATAAGCAGCTCTCTGCTACATAATTCTGAGGCAAGTCGTGTGTAAAAGATTGATAAAGGTGACCTTCTGCACAACAGTAAGTGAATACAGGCACTGTCTTCTAGAAGCACCATGTATTGCCAGGACAGAGTAGGGGCTAGACATTTAGAGTGGGTATAAAGTATAAGTCATGAAGGTAGACATGATGACCCAAGAAGCAGGAGCAGGGTAGCAAGAAAGAGGGCCAAAGACAAAGCTGTAGGAGGTCCAAGTACCCAAGATTTTGGAAAATATAGACTTGGGATACATAGAGAAAGTGCCATCAGAGACATCATGGAAGTCTGGAAGACCATCACCACATAAAAGTCAATGAGAAATGGTGTTTAAAGACAAGAGGTAAATTGTCTAACTGTGCTGTGATCCAGTGAGAACAGAACTACATTTGTTAAACATGGGGTAGTCCTTCTCCAGTTAATATGCTTATGCCCATTCAGATATGAGTGAGTGCTATATTTCAAAAGATTTCCAAATGGATTTTCTTATCATTCTGCTGTGTGACCGTTGCACCCTGATAAACACTTAGTAAGAACTCACCACTGTTTAAAATGAGGTCAACCTCCTTTTATCCATCCTAATATGACCACAACTTGCTTTCCTAACTTATTTCTCTATATTCTTTTTTTCCAACTATTGTAATAGCTATTATGAATTTACTATCTACTGTGTAGATGAGTCTAGACCAGGAAATTTATGAATATGTTCTCATTTTTAAGCCTTAATGGAGGATTTTGACTGATCACCTACAGCCTGCTGCCTATAAAGCTTAACTGGCACATAGCCCCACTCATTTGTTTATAGGTTGCCTGTGGCTGTTTTCATGCTACAACTGTGTGAAATTTTGATGGCTCTTTCCTTTTGCTTATACACAATCATACTCAATGTAATTCTTTGACATAATTTTGGATAATTTTCTAGGCTAATTCCCTAGAGGCAGTGCTGTGGAGACAGATGATAAATATTCAAAAGCCCACAAAAAAGCAATTTTGCAGTTGCTTAATTGCAACAGAGGCTTTCAAAGCCTGTGTCTTTACTATCTTCACAGGAAAAGACTACTGGTCTCTATTCTAATGGGGGTTTGCAGGATCAGTCCTCATTCCCCAAGTAGGTCTACTATCTCTCAGATGCCTGAGTGATATCTATTAAAAATAAAAGCTCAAATTGGAGGTGCCTCAAGGAGGGGTTTTCTTTCCTTTTTAAAAATAGTTTTTTTTTTATTTTATGTACATTCATGTTTTGCCTGCATGTATGTCTGTATGAGGGTGTTGGATCTCCTTGAACAGGAGTTACAGACAATTGTGAGCTGCCATGGGAGTGCTGGGAATTGAACCTGAGTCCTCTGAAAGAGCCAAATCTCTCTCACAGATTGAATTCTTATCTGCTTTGCCTGTCCCAACCTAGTCCTTCACTTGCCTTTGTCAGATAGGTCTTCACTTACATAAAATGACCAGTTCAAGCCAAGGAATGAACCCAAGACACAAACTTGCAACCTGTGCATTATAGTTCTGCTTTATAGATAAGGAAACTGAAACCCAAGACTACTTTGCTCAAGGTTATCTGATCATTAGGTGACACACCTAGGATTCCAAAGCCTATGCTCATTCTACCACATCATAAACTCCCACTCTCCTGCATGTTTTTGTTGCTGTTGTTGTTTGTTTGTTCCAGTCTAAACTTGCTAATCTAAACTTGCTGACTTCAGCACCCACACCAGGTCCTGCCTCTCTGCAGCTGATCCCTCTGTTCTTCCAACCTGATGACAGCCCTGGAGTCCATCCAACCTCTTCTTGCATTTCACTCTCAATTCCTAAGCCACTGTCTAACCCTATCTCCAAATTCGGGAGTGGCCCATTCCTCTTTCTCAACTCCCAATAAATTCCCTGTGTCTCTCATATGGCAATGCTATTGTCTCCCTTTATTGCAATTTTCTATTCACTTGTCCTGACTCAGAAGAGTGAGAGACAGAGGGGAAAACCAATGTATGAGTCATATGTTCATCTGTCATAGTTCTTATCATGAAACCTTTCCTAACAGGGGTGCAACCAACTCTGTGACCATGAGACTCTAATGAACATCCAAGTTTTCAAGTAAGGTCTGTTCTCTAAAAGTGCAGTTTGGGACTTGGGGAGGGGCATGCGTGAAGAAGAAGGAGGGAGGGTGGGATCAGGAGGGGAGGAGGAAAGGGCTTATGGGGGGATACAAAGTGAATAAAGTGTAATTAATAAAAAATTAAAAAAGTGCAGTTTGGATGCTAGGGATCATCTTTTCCCAGGTGAGACAAATTTGGTCCTATGGACTCCCAGCCTTCACTTGCAGATCCTTAGATGATATGCTCAAAGAAGCATAATGAATCCTGCATTCATTTTCTCCTTGAGTATCTTCACAGTAAGTATCAGCCCAACTACCTGAAGTCTCCTTGCCCCAGATCCCAAGCTGTGGGGTGACAGACCACCTTCCGGTCATCTCCTGGCTCAGTCAGCATGGAGTTTGCCCAGAATTCTTTTGTCATATGAGGAAGACCAACAGAAACAAAGAACTTCTCTGCTTCTTTAAATATCCTTTCAGCATCCCAGCCCTGGGGGAGAAAAAAAAATAAAGAACAATGTTGAATCCCTGTACTATAACAGAAATTCTTTCTGTTGAACACAGATATTGACAGAACTTTTCCAACAGACAGATGGGCTTTTTGAATGTTTATCATATGTCTCCAAAGCACTGCCTCTAGGGAATCAATCTAGAAAATTATCTGAAATTATGTCAAAGAATTACAAATGAGTATGATTTTATATGAGCAAAGAGGAAAAGGCCATCAAAATGATTAGCCAATGAGACTTTTGTAGAATGGAAATTTTGCAGACACCTAAATTATATTCATATTATAAAAGACAATAAAATAATAGGTGAAAAAAATAAAATATACAAACCACTTAGTTGGTATTGACCAATCTTAATGAAGAAAAGGTAACATAAAAAATGTTAACAACAGACTGAATTATATGTGGGTTTTTTTGTTTGTTTGTTTGTTTGTTTTGTCCTTATTGAGTTTTTGGTGTTACAGACTTTTCCCCATAGCACTTTGAAGAAATACATTAGACAAACACGCTGCCTCCAAGCCACATCCTTGATAGTCTTTCTTTATATTCCAAACATAAACAAACAAACAATGACCCATTTGCTGAAAACTGTTGAACTCAAGCCAGCAGTCATTCATTGAATTTCTTTAGGGGTCAAGACTCCATGTTCAGCTCAGTGGAAAAAAGGAACAATATAGTAGACAGGAAGGCATAGGCCTTTGAAGCCAAAAAGCCCAGTTGTGATCTAGAAGCCAAGGAGTATCTGATCTTCACCATAGCATCTGAACTCTCAGAATGTTTTGAAACTATATGGAGGCAATCATAGGCATGTGCAACCTGGCAAATTCCTTTAGACCAATGTCTTAGGAGACAACCAAGCCTGCTGAGGCAATGAAGCCTGTCAGGCAAACAATGTTTTTGAGTATTTAATACATGGCACCATGAACCACTTTTAGATCTAGCAATAAGAAACAGAAGATGAGGGTAAATACCATTATCATCATTATTAATATTATTGAATTTTAAAGGCTTAATATAAAAATATTGGTACTAATTAGCATGGCAGTCTTAATTTGAATTCATAGTTTACTGATACACAAGAACATAGAAGTAACATGTTTGGGGGCTATAATATGTTTTCATATACATATACGTTGTATAATGTTCCAAGTAGGATATGTGTATCTGTTTTCTCATTTACCATTTATTTATGGAGAAAACATTTGATTTCCTTCCTTGGCCTTATCAAAAATATGCAATATATGTCACCATTATTTGCAGTCACTATTCTGTACAATAGCACAAAAATAATGATAAGCTAGTCTTCCTCCTCCATGCCTTCTTACATTTTTCAGCCTCAGCTAACTTTTTTTCTAGTCTCATCTTCCATGAGATGAGCATTTGCACTCCCATATATAAGTGAGATCATAATATTTGTCTTTGTATGTCTGGCTTACTTCACTTAATATAATGGCCTCCAGGTCTATCCATGCTGTTATGAATGACAGGAATTCATTCTTTTATAGTTGAGAAGCATTCCATTGTGTACAGGTGTCACATTCTTAATATATTTATCCCCATACAGACATTTAATTTGTTTTCATTTCTTGGCTATAATGAACAGCATTCCAACAAATGTAGGAGTATTTCTGACACTTCCACATACTGATTTCATTTCCTTGAGATATACCCTCAGGAATGGGGTTGCTGGATTACATGATAGTTTCATTATTTAATTTCTTGAGGAAGTAGCTCTCTGTTTTCTCTAATGACCATACTAAGTTGCATTTCCAAGTTAATGTGGAAGGATTCTCTTTACATCCTTACCAATACTCAGTGGGTTTATTTATTTTCTCTCTCTCTCTCTTTTTTTAAATGGTTTTTTTAACTAGAGTGAGGTCATCTTACATTTTGGTTTTGAACTGCATTTTCATAATCATTGATAGCACTGAGCACTTTTATAAAACACTTGACCATTTATGTGCCTTCTTTCAAGAAATATCTATTGAGGAACACTGCTCATGTTTTAATCTGGATATATGGAGTTTGGCTGTTGTGTTCCTTATACATTCTAGACCTTACCTCTCATCATGTACACTTGTTTTAAACATTTTCTTGTTTTCTCTATGTTGTTTCTCTTCTTGTTTCCTTTGCTGTGCAGAAGCCTTTTATTTTCATGTAATTCTGTCTATTTTAGCTTTTGATTCCTGTGTTTTGGGGGTCTTGCCCCAAAAATTCTTTACCCATTCCAATGTCTAGAATCATTTCCCCTATTTCATTGTCTCAAGTCTTACAACTACATCTTTTACCTGTGTTGAATTGATTTTTGTAACTGTTAAGAGGCAAAGGACCCCTGCACAGGTGTAGCCCATGGCAGTTCAGTGTCCAAGTGGGTTCCATAGTAATGGGAAGAGGGACTGCCTCTGACATAATCTGATTGGCCTGCTCGTTGATCACTTCCCCCTGAGGGGGGAGCAGCCTTACCAGGCCACAGTAGAGGACAATGCAGCCACTTTTGATGAGAACTGATAGACTAAGATCAGAAAGAAGGAGAGGAGGACCTCCCCTATCAGTGGACTTGGGGAGTGGCATGCATGCAGAAAGGGGAGGGAGGGTGGGATCGGCAGGGGAGGAGGGAGGGGCTCATGGGGGGATACAAAATGAATAAAGTGTAATTAATAAAAAAAAATAAAAGATTAAAAAAAAAAAGAGGCAAAGGTCCTATTGAATTCTTCTATATGTACATCTAATTTTCCCAGGATTGATAGTTATTGGATAGGCTGTCCTTGCTCTAATGTATGATCTTATCACTTTTGTTGAAAACTGGTTGGCTATGAATGTGTGGGGTTGCTTCCAGGCTTTCTATTTTGTTCTAGTGGTCTGTGTGCCCATTTTTGTTTTGTTTGTTGAAACAGGGTTTCTCTGTGTTACTCTGGCTGTCCTGGACTTGCTTTGTAGACCGGATTGGCCTGGAACTCACAGAGATTTGTCTGTCTCTGTGTCCCAAGTACTGGGATTGAAGGCATGCACTACCACACCTGGCCTAGTATGTCTATTTTTAATGTTTCTGCTTTGTAGCATGTTTTGAAATCAGAGACTGTAACGTCTCTTCCTCTGTTCTTTGTGTTCAGGATTGCTTTGGTTATTAGGGGAGGGTTCTTTTGATGCCATATTATTCTTTACTATCATAGTCTTAACTCAAATGAACGAAACAGCGTAGACTGGTAAGCACAGCCAACATTTCTTGAAGAGTAAAGAAAGAAAAACAGAAGTAGAGAGGAAACATTAAAGTTTTGAGTTGAATAGTTAGTTGCCTCTGACTGCCTTTATGACTTCAGGTGAATTATACATCTAAGCCTATTTTGTATCTTATAGCATGGATCATGGTTCCTCGCCTGACACTTTCAGAGTTAATCTTAGGAAAGCAGAAACTATGTAATCAGTTTGAAAGGAAGCTACGCTTACCACTGTACAATATACATGAAGCCACTTCAAAAAGAATAAGGTTTGACATCATGCTGGCCATTTGCTGCTACTCAATAACAAAATGAAATTTGAAGAGCTACAAGGGTTGAGGTTTTGCAAATTTGAGCTTTTAGTCTACTGTAAGTTTTCCCCAGAAGTATGTTACATATGTGAAGATCATCAGTGCATTAACAGATGTAACAAGATTAATGAGAAAATATATTCAGCAAGAATACATAATTAATTATTGTGTGGCAACCTGAGGACACTTTCAGAGGCAAAAGGAAGTTTTAATTCATTCATTCTAATGAGAAACATAGAATTTAATTAAAATTTTAAAACATCTACAATTCTAATATAATTTCATTGATGGAAGAGATCACAATACATTATACCAAGATAGTAGAAAATGGGTGATTTAGAGCATTATAATAATATTTCAACAATGATTTTTAATATTTAAAGTAAGATGTTCCTGCTCATCATTACTCATAGAGATTACAGACTGATTACTTAGCAACATTGTCTTTGAAAAGTGTGATGCCAATCAGTTGATAAAACCAGGTCATCTCAATTTTGTTGTTTGTTTGTTTGTTTCAAGACAAGGTTTCTCTGTGTAGCCTTGGCTGTCTTGGACTCACTTTGTAGACTAGGCTGGCCTCAAATGTCATCTCAGTTTTGGATGCTTCACAACAAGGTAAGTAGAGTTTCTGTTATTGAAGGTACTTAAGATCATTGACATTAGAAACTACTTTTCATAATAATATATAGGAAATAAATTTAAGTTAGCTTGGATTTTTATGAACATGATTTCACACACAAAATCAGAACATAAAGATGCATAAATGAAAAATGCAGTTGAAACTTCTTAATGTTTTATGGTTTCTTTTTCTTACCTGCTTCACCATTTCATCAGTAACATCTATGTTTGGTTTCTGTCCATAGGGAACTGTCAAAGGGTACAGATTTGTCCAAAATCTACCCCACATATCACCTGTTTACATAAATAATACATTAATATTTGACAAAAACAACCAAAATACAGATCTAATCTTTCATAGTATGTAAGGTTGTCTGGGCAAAGCAACCACTCAGTTTTTGTAAACAGTCTAGATTCTGTATTCCCTTTTCACTACTCCTGTTTCTCCTTTCAGTCGTTCACTTATATTAACTTTGTAACATTTCCTTCTCTATCACCTGTAAAATGCTAAGTGTACAAGAGATTATGTAGTTAGGCAAAGCTTGCTAGACAATCTTCGGAGCTTCTCTTATTATGAATTGCTATTGGAAGGCACAGTTAAAACTAGACGTGGTGGCGCAGCCATCAAGCTCGTGACTTGGGAGGCAGGGAGAGAAGGACTACATGGTGAGAACCTTTCTCAAATAAAGCAGAGCAAAATAAAACATGGAATATCATCGCTCCTAAACCTAAGGTTTACAAAAGGCCATCAGGCACACAACAAAATGCTGCAAATGCAAATAGAACTATTAGTAATGACTAGGGCAGGTTCACAAAGGATCATGTAAATTCTTCAGTCAAAAGTTTCTCTTAACTGGTAGTTAACTTTTACTTTTAAAATCATAATATCAAAAAAAAACATAATATAACATTAAACTAGATAACTAAGCATCTACAGTGTGAACTTGGATTCAAGGCCAGAAATCCTAAAAGGGAAGATGGATCAAACAAACAATCAAAACTGAAATAGCAAGAGATCAGAACCGTGGCACTAAAAATATGGGGCAATACAATTATATGGAGAACACTCCATTGAATTCATTTATTAATAAACAACAAAAATAATTGTGTGTGCATCTATGGGTGCTTGAGCATGGTTGTACATGTGCCACAGCCTACCTGTATAGGGCATGTTGACAATTGTCACAGGACAATTGTCAATTGTTGATTTTCTCTTTCCATCTGCAGATCAAACTGAGATCACCAGATTTGCATGGTAAGCACTTTTACCCACCATCTTTCCAGCCTTATTTTTCAAAATATTCAGTTTAATAGAGATAAATTCCTATACTTATAACTGCCTGCCACAAAAGTCAAGTATAGTTCAGAGTTAAAGATCAACAGTGGTCCAAGAAGAAGCATGATAGGAAACAAGTAAGACTTTCAGCTGAATTAATAAAATGGTAGTGGCTAGGGGAAAGCCATGCATGGTACTTATTTTTACCTCTATGTTAGATAAACCTCATCTGGAATCATGGTTCAGTCCTGAGCATGGCAATTGAAGAAGGTCACAAATAAAGCATAACCAAACGAAAAGAACTAGAATACTAGTATCTTAAGGAGTAGTTAAATATCTATGTAACATATTGAACTTGAAGAAAGAAAAACAGCACATACACGATAATAACCATAATAGTCACTACACTGTGGTGAAGATAAAACTGTGTGCCAGGTTGTACTGTGTACTATATGATAGTTGTTTGTAGATGTCTAGAAAGTTGTCTTGTTAAATAGGAATTGACTTTTTTTGAGAAATGCCATAGCATGGAAATAAGACTAATGAAAAGAAGGTACTAAAAAAGTGCTGGTTTGGTTTCACATAAAACAGAACTTTTTGATAACTGGTACCAAGCAACATCTGTAGGAAGAGAGAGCCTACCTTAGGAGGAAGAAAGAGTTCACCACAATAGATAGGTTTGATCAAACAGAAAATTACTGAATAATGCCTGCCAGGGCATCACAGAGACAATTACTATGTTGTGGTAAGGCTAAAGATCCCCAAAGTTCTTTTATGTGTGTTCTTTCCTGCTGATAGATATGAGGTTTGTCTGTAGAAGATGCTAAGTATGCATGGCTAGTTGCAGCAAGATTTATTTACACAGTTTAGCAAAAACTCATGAGGCTTTCCTCTAGGCGGTATCTTTATCTTAGAAACATATCTCTGTTCCCCTCCAGCCCATTGAGTGCTTTTAAATTTGACCATATAGTACTGAAATCCCAGGCTTAGTCAATCAACTTGAATAAACACATTTTAACCTAGAATTCTTTCTCCAGTCCTCTTAAACAGAGAATAGACTTTAGAGACTACATTCATCTTAAATAGATTAGATAATGATTTTAAACAGACTTTCTGCTAAAAATGTGCTTTTACAAATGTTTCTGGAATGATAGTAATGTTATTTACACATATTCTCAAATGCTTTAGACTGAGCCTCACTCCAAAAGACAGCTTTAGTCATGGAAATAATCAAAAGGACAAAGAGCACAAAGGACCCCTGTAGTTCCTTACCAAGCAAATGAGCAGGGAGGCATCCAGTGGGACTGATGTAGGAAGGGTAGGCATTCATCAGCTTAGTTCTCACATAGGCATGAAGATGTTCATATAATGGTTTAATCTGAAAATCCCAGGAAGAAAGTTTGAGACCAACAATACCCAACTTCAGTTTCTAATACCCAACTCTAGAAATAGGAGCTTCTTCATGCAGGACAGTTTCTTCTCCTTTCAAATATTCTAAAGAGTTTGAGAACATTCCTTCTTCACAGATATTGACTCTGACTAGCCCCACTGCATAAATCAATACTAGCACTTGGAGGAATGCAAAGCCCCAGAGGAAAGCTGATGCCAAAAAAAAAAAAAAAAGAAAAGAAAAAAAAAGTTACTGTCTTCTTTTGCCATTAGGACACTTTCTAAAAAGAAAGAGAGATAGAAAGAGAGAGAGAGAGGAAGGAAGGAAGGAAGGAAAGAAGGAAGGAAGGAAGGAAGGAAGGAAGGAAGGAAGGAAGGAAGGAAAAGAGAAAAAGAAAGAAGAAAGAAAGGAGAGAAACAAACATCCTTAGTCAAAGACTGATGAAACAATATTCCCAATAGTTGTGAGAAAGGAAGCAAAACTATGATCATTCTACTAAAAAAAGAAGACTAGGCTAAGTCCTCAAGATCTGAAAGACCATTCCTTCTTGTAGTCTTTCTATTGATAATTACGGGTCATTGAGGAAAAGAGAGAAGTAGAGCAGTTCTGATTGTTGCCCAGAGTTTTCTCAAAAATATTTTCTAAGGGATGAGGATGTAGATCGGTTAATAGAGTGTTTACCTAGCATGCACCAAAGCCGAGTTTAATCTCCAGGCCTGTATAAATCAGGCATGGTGTTGTACACCTGTAATCCCAACAAAGGAGGTGAAGGCAGAAGGGATCAGGAATTCAAAGTCATGCTTACCTTCATAACAAGTTAGAGGCCATACTGGAATGCTTGAAACCCTGTCTCAAAAAAAGCTTTACAAACTCTAATACACTATAATTCTGTGAGAACTGGGAATTGCATGTTTAAAACAATAGCCCTTGCTGGGCGTGATAACTCAATCCTTTAATCCTGGCATTTGGGAGGCAGAAATAGTTGGATCTCTGTGAGTTCAAGGACAGCCTAGTTTATAGAGTGAGTTCAAGGACAGGAGGGCTATGTAGAAAAAAAAAAGCTACTTTTTAATACAGTAGTTTGTTGATGTCCCTGGGAAGCCTGCTTTTTGGAAGAGGGGAATCTGGGGAAGAGGAGAGATGGGGGGTGTGGAGAACGGAACTGGGAGAGAGGAGGGAGAAGAAATTGCAGTCAGGATCTAATATATGATAGAAGAATTTAAAAAAGAAAAAAAAAGACAAAATATAGCCCTTGGCTATTGGCTATCATGGTCCCTTCCTGTTTATCACCCTGCAGTTTCTTTATTACCTCTGCAAAGGTACGTTCCACATCTTCAATCAACTGGTTTCGGTCATACTTGTAGCCATCTGCTCCCTCTGCTTCATAATCCCCTCTCCAATAATCCCCATAGTCTTCATAATCTGTTTTGTTTTATTTTTTTAAGAGGAAGAGGGAAGCATAACAGAAATTAAAAAGAGGGAAGTACCGGTTACATGGATGAGTCTTTATGGGAGAATTTTTTTTAAAAGATCTTAAGGATTATCTCAATTTTGTTGCCAGTCAACTCAAAAGTTGCAAATGAAAAGCAAGACTTGCTAATTCTGTTAAGTAGCTGTTTTTCATCATTTTCATCATCTTCATTAGGAGTTTAGATCATCTCGTTTAATGAGCACAAAAAACATGTGATATTGTCACCAGCCCATCGTGCTGATTGACTACCTGTGTTTTTAAAATATATTCTATTAATTCCTTGAAATTTTCACATAATGTATTTTATCATATCCATCCCTAACTCCTCTGAGATCAGAGGGTGGGAAGAAATAGATTTAAGAGCCAGGGGGGAGCAAAGTGAAGCCAGGATTTCTGGACATGTCAAGACTACTATAATCATGAGCTTATAGCAACTGTGGAATGTGCACTAAGACTTAAACACCCCACTGACTATCATGTAAGATATGTTTCTTTTTTTGCCATTTTGCTTTCTTCTCTCTACCCTACTCCCAGCGATGGCTTTGGCAGTTTGATCCCCAATAAATCTTTTTCTACCCATTGCGTGGTCTAGTTTGGTAGTTTCTCCATCCCATCACTTAAATTATGTGCAACTTAGAATCGTTTGGCCTATATTTTCCCATTTTCTCCCCTCACCATTGGTAATGGCAATTTTATTATTTTTCTGAATGGTTAGTTGAGCCTTTCACCCTTTAGTTTATATTGAAGTTAGATCAGGTGGTATTTTTCATTCTGTTGCACTAATCGCAATTAGCATACTGCCATCCAGGTCTATCCACACTGTGGCAAATGGCAACTTTTTTTTTAAAGCTAAATACTATTCTATTACATAGTATATCTATCTCTATATAAATATATATCTACACACACACACACACACACACACACGCTTTCTTTATCCATTTGTCTGTTAGTGGACACCTGATTGTTTCCCCATTGTGGCTGCTGTGATGAATGCAGTTATCTGAGTACATGCCCAGAAGAGGAGTTACTAGATTATACAGCAGTTTTATCTGAAGTTTCTCTAGAAACCACCAGACCATTTCCATAATGGCTGCACCAATTTACATTCCCACCAAAGGCCCGGTGCTTAGAGTAGTAAAATCACTTGTCCAAAGTTGTACAGCTGACAAGAGCAAGAAATTTAGTCCTAATTTATAAACTCTTGGTCCCTACTCTCTGCATCCTTATTTTTAAAATGTGCAATTGGTCCATAAGTTTTTATACCTACTTTTGTTCAGGGCCTTAAATTTTCAGATGCCACCCACTTTATGTCAGACACTATTATAGTGGTCCTATGTTCCTTTGCAAATTATATGTATAAAAACATACCTCCATTTTTATTAAGTATCAAGCCATCAAGAAACATGAGCTTATATTAAAGTATTAGCTAATAAAGTTTGCAAATGTTTCTAGTGATTTTTGTTTTTATATATACATTTTAATATATATACATCGTTAATATATGATCAACAAGATGAGGAAAATAAATATTTAGATGGAAAGATATGTGGAGATTATTAAAATGGATAATAAGCTACTGTCTGAAACTTGCTTAAGGCTTGAGAATATGGGTTTAAGTGACAATGGAAGAAATTAGAATTAACAAATGGGGAAAAAATGTTTTCCTTATTTGACCCCAGGGCACAGTGAACTACCAGTCCATGAAGATATTCATAATGATTATTCTTTCAATAGAAGTTAAAAGACATGAAAGTTCCTTCCTATGTTAAGATTCTTAGACTTTCAATGTCAGAAAGTTGAATTTCCACATGAACTAATTATATGATGGTGGATTTTTTCCTGAGCTAGCACCCTGTGGTAGACACACAAATGAGGGTTTTTGGTAAGCAGATATTGCCTTTGTCTCTCATTTGATATGTATAATATGATCCCTACTCAGTGCCAACATTCTCTTGGGTACTGTTTGGGGCCTTAGACCCTCCACACACGAATAATTAGTAAATCATAACTCCTAGGTAATTCATTTAAGATTCCATAGTTGAATCCCATCCATAAGCTCTTTAAACAATAGAGTTCCAGTGTACCTGTTTTTTTGTGTGGTTTTTGTTTGTTTGTTTGTTTGTTTGTTTTAATGTCCCTGTAGCATCTTCAGACATGTAACCTGATTCTTTAAGCAAATGATTGTTAATTTAAGGTCATCCAAGTCTTACAGGGCAAACTTGGTCATAAGTCAGAAATAGTTTTATAACCACCCCCATGGAGAGCATCAGAACCTACAGAGCAGCAGACTTACTGTTGGCTCTTGCCATCTCATTTTTCAGGACCACATAGTCTTCATATAATGGCCTCAGCTGCTTGCCGACCTCAGCCCTCCAGCCTTCCCAAGCCCAGAGCCTCTCGTTGTAGTCTGTGCTTTTTGCCATTATGTCATCCAAACCTGTTGTTCCAAAGGAATATAAATTCGAATGTGAAATATTTGTATTTATAATACAAATAATTTGTTTTTACAATTATGTGAACTTTAAGGAATTAAAAGTTTGGCAGACATCCAAGTCATTAAACAAGATGTCATGGTTAGTATCCTTGTACTTATTATTAGATCCAAACGGATTTGCAGAAGGAGAAAAAAAGTACTAAAGTAATTTTATTACTAGCTTAATTACTTGAATGTAATAAAATTTACAAGGTATGGGATTTTTTAAGTTAAAAGGAAATGTATGATAGGTTATAGATGTGACTCAGGGAATAAAAGGCTTGCTCACAAACATGAGGACCTGAGTCTAAATCCCCAGAACCCATGAAGAAGAACTAGATATCAAAGGAGAGTGGAGATGGCATATGGGAATGTTTAAAGAGAGGGGAAAAAAGCAAGACATGCAACCAAATTAAAATCTCAAAACCAAATAAACAAAGCTAGGCATGTCTGTGCATGCAACAGTAAGCCCAGTGGTGTGAGGAACAGAAACAGTTCTAGGTTCAGTGAGAGAGCTTGTCTCAAGGGAATAAGGCAGGGAGTGATAGAGCAGGACACCCACCATCTTCTTTCTGACCTCCAAAAGTACACGGGCATACATAACTACACATGCACATATACTACACACACACAAACAAACACACATACACACTCATTCACAGGTATACACAATGAAAGATAAATACAAATCTTTTTTTTTTTTTAAAGGAGAATGTGAGCTAGAACATTTTGGAATGGTACTATTTTTAGGTTATCAATCTGCAAAACATTGTGTTGTTGCTAAAGATCTCTGTCTCAGGGTGGGGAAATGGCTCAGTCTGGAAAGTCCTTCTACAATTCCTAGAACTCACATTAAAAGCCAGGTGTGAAGCCGGGGCATTGGTGGCACATGCCTTTAATCCCAGCGCTCAGAGAAGCAGAGGCAAGATGGTCTACAAAGTGAGTTCCAGGACAACAAAGGCTATACAGAAAAACTGGCAGCTCATTCTCCATGTTGGTTTTCTAGTAAGGGGAGCACGGTCTGTCTCTGACATGAATTCAGTGGCTGGCTCTTTGATCACCTATCTCTGAGGAGGGAGCAGCTTTGCAGGCCACAGAGGAAGACAAGGCAGCCAGTCCTGATGAGAGCTGATAGGCTGGGGTCAGAAGGAAAGGGAGGAGGACCTCCACTATCAGTGGACTTGGAAAGGGGCATGGAAGGAGATGAGGGAGGGAAGGTGGGATAGAGAGGGAATGAGGGAGGGGGCTACAGTTGGGATACAAAGTGAATAAATTGTAATAAATAATAATAATAATTAAAAAAAGAAAAACCAAAACAATAGATAGAGAGATAGATAGATAGATAGATAGATAGATAGATAGATAGATAGATAGATAGATAGAAATTAAAAAAAAATACAAGTGTGCTAGTATACACTTCTAATTCCAGTCCTGAGGAAATGGAGACCTGAAAATCCCCTGGGGTTGCTGACAAACAGTAATATCTACTTGGTGAGTTCCCATCGAGGGAGAGACACTGTCCCCAAAGAAAACTAGTAATGGTTCCTGAGGAATGACAATTGAGGTTGTACTCTGACCTCTACGCCCACGTGTGCTTGCACAAATATGTATACCTGCATATACATGAACATGCACACAGATTAAACATGCACGTATACCACACATTTTAAAAGTCTATCTCATTTTTAAAGTTTGGAATACAAATTTCATAAAGACTACTAAAAACAAATAACCTACCTGGTTCAAGCAATGAACATTCCTGTGGATTCTTTGGGTTGCAAACTTTTCCAGTACTGTAAATGGTGCTCATAGCATTCAGAATTGTGTTCAACTGCAAATTAAACATAATAAATAGTGGCAGGCATGTATAATGTACTATAATGAGTGGTAGTACAAAGATAACCTCTTTTTGGTCATGGGATTTTTTTTAATTCTTTTTTTTTTCCTTTTACTTAAAACAGATTCTTTTCTCATACACTATATCCTGATTATAGTTTCCTCTTCTACTTCTTTCAGTTTCTCTCTACATCTCCTCCCTCTGGAATCATTCCTTTTATGTCCCTCATTAAAAGGGGGGGGGGCTTCTAAAATATAACAACCAAAGAACTCAAAATAAAATATAATATGAAGCAAAAACTATCATATTGAACTTGGACACAGCAACCCATCAGGAGGAAAAGACTCCCAGGAGCAGGCACAAGAATCAGAGAACCACTTGTTCTCACAGTCAGGAGTCCCATAAAAACACCAAGCTAAAAGCTGTAATACATACAAAGAGGACCCAGTGTAGACCCATGTAGGCCCTTGCTTGCTGCTTCAGTCTCTTTGAACTTATATGGTCATGGGATACCTTCTTTGCCAAGTATACTTGTATTTACAGAGACCAGATAGCTTGCATAAATGTCTCTGCTGTCAAGTTGCACAGAATCTTGAGAGCTTGTGATCAATACATATGGATTAACTAAAATAAGTATGTCCACTCAAACTCCCAGGAACATTTCTCATATAGACAGAGAAATATCACTTCCTTTTCATTTAGCATTTACTAAACCTCTACTATGTTCTACATGTTGATAACTCTGAAATAAACAGGCTTCTGACCTTCAAAGATGCCAAAGTCATAGAATAATAAGGCAGCCACGAAAGAGATCACAATATAAAGGAGTGACAGGTACTGTTAACTGTCACCAAAAAGTGCTTTAGCAGTACTGGCTTAGAGTAGAAGAGGGTAAAATAAGGGAGATTAGTAACCTGGAGATTTAAAAATGGAGAGCTCCATGTTCCAGAAGTAGAAATTGGTCATGTAAAGGAAAGGAGGCGGTGGACCTTAAAAATGGACAAAGGTGTGAAAGGTAAGCCATTTTTAACAAGAAGTTAAATGACTAAAACTCCAGTGACAGTACTCACTGAAGGAGTGACGGTCACTAGAATGGAGAGATAAGTGGCATCTAGATTACAAGGAGCAATCAATGCCACAATAAAGAATTTAAACTTTACCCTGTAGGCAAAGGGGAGTGAAGATAACCAGGTAAAGCCAAGCTGTTCAAGGGCATCAGTAGGTACAAGTCAGCAAAAGGTTTATTTCCATTCTCAGAATGAATAAATGAAGAAGAATGAAGAGAATAAATGTGAAAATATGTTTTGGGAAACTCAGTAGATCCATGATATCTAAGCACGAAACCAATGAACTTATCCACATGTTGATCTGTGGTGGGTTGGAAACATAGGAAGAAAGGATGAAGAAATGAAAGAAAAAGGGGGGAAAAAAGAAAAAAGACTGATTTCTCTCATACAAATCATTTAAATGTTAGATTTCTCCTAACACCCTTGTGTGTTATTATTTCACTCTGTTGCACACTCATTGTATTGAAAACATGAGATAAATTCCATGCTTAAAACTTCTACAAGAAGCTGGGCATAGTGGCACACACCTGTGATCCCAACACGCTGGGAGGCAGAGGCAGGCAGATCTCTATGAGTCTGAGACCAGCCTGGTCTACAGAGCAAGTCCAGGACAGCCAAGGCCACACAGAGAAACCCTGTCTCAGGGGAAGAAAAAAAAATCCTTCCACAGATCCAATAGTCTAGTCCAATAATCCACCTTCACATAAAATACCTCATGGTCTCTTTCTCTACCTGCTATTTCAATCTCTCCTCTATTCTTTCCATGCATCCTAAACTCCCTTCTGTTCTCAAGCTATTACTTGCACCTACGTGGTTTTCAATCCTAGCAGCACATTATAATTATTTGAGGATTTTTTAAAACTAGAATGTCTAAGAGTCACATAGACTACAGCAGTCTGTCCACATTCAAACGGGCAAGATTTCTCATGGAGCCCTTGTTAAAAAAAATACAGATGAAGAAACATAGACAAGACAAGATAAGGTAGATGAATAACTTAGTGGAATTATTAAACCCAAGGAATGTAGAATAATAAATATCAACTTGTAGAAACAAATACCATATGGCTTTATCTCTGTTCTTATCATGTACTTTTATTTTTATAAATGCAGATTAAGACATACAGAGTTCCAAAGGACAAGCAACTAAAAAAGAAAACTTTCATGTGAAAGACTGAATGTTTTAGATAAAAATATTTCAGTAGGCTATATCAGGGGTCTGTTGTGTGTTTTTGTAAAGCTTTGTTGGAAGACAGCCACATCCATTCATCTATGTATTATCTATGGCTGACTTCCTGCTCTGATGGCAGAGCTTACTTGTTGTGACACAAACAATATGGCCTGCAAAGCCCAAGATATTTATTTTATGATTCTTTACAGCTTGCTTTCAAGTTTGCTGGACCCTGGACTGGGGGCATGGGATGAGAGATGGTATTTCAACAGAATAAATATAAGAATTCTTGAAATCATCTCAGCATAGGATGTTTTTAAAGTGCCCTTTGACTGCTGTGTTGGCACACACAAAAAAATGGGGAACTTCACTAACAGTGAGGTTGATATGAGCTAACCATAGCATTTAGCAATAAGAACAAAGGAAAAATAAATTTGCTCTAGGATTCTCCTAGCCTGCCTCAGTCAGTGTTGACCATGGTGTAGAAAATGTCATATTCCTGATCACTTCTGTGTAGATCAGAACCCAAGTGTCATATTTCACTCTCAGAAAGATTTTAATTTGAATCATGAACTTTATGTCACCCTACCTGGGCACAGAGCAGCTGTTATTATCTTTGCAGATAACAGAATCATGCCTGTGGAATATGAATGTGTATTATTTCTCAAACATTTCAACTCTTGAGGTCTGGACTAAAATATTTACAAACGCACCTTTTGGTTCTTGTCTGCTGAGAGTGCTGAAGATCCACTTTTCTGAAGGGCCTGCAGCTGACGCTTGATGATGAGGGTCTGAATTTCTTGTAGTGAGAAATTGTGGGCAATCTTAGACTGTTCTTCATAAAAGGCAGACCATTTGGCATCAGCCTCATTCTGAAAAACAAATAAAGTAAATTGAACTTGGACAGAAGATATATTTCAAAGAACATCTGGTGAAACATCTACTACTTCCTGCATGGCTTAGTCCTTTACTTTGCTGAGGGTCAAGGTTTAGGTTAAAAGTAATCAGGCCACTCTTGGGCCACTTTCTTTCTGGCCCAATGCCTAGTTTTCCCAAGGGCCCTGTCCCAAGAACTGGAAGTAAATTCTCACAGATACTCACACTGTGAGGCCCTGGAACTTATGGCCTTGGTGCTGTGACGTGGGTAAGTTGGCTAAAGATTCAGGGATGAATGGGCTAAAAGGAGAACCTTGCAGATCTCAGAGCAGACAGACACAATGGGAATACAGTCCCTTGTGACCACCAGAACCATGAGAAATGAGAACCAGATCAAAGAAAGCTCCTGGGTGCCATGGTTCAGTGCAGGAAATTTGACCTTAAATTGTGATCTCAAAGGAAGGCTTCCCGGAGCAGGGCCACTTGGTAGGGTGATAATTTTCCGACAACAACAAATGTCAACAAACAGGTGATGATGTTGGAATACACCTGCCTCTCTGCAGCCCCATCTTGGCAATAAGTAGAAGAATGGGTTTCTCCCGGTTTCTCGAGTACAGAGTCTTCTCTCAATGCACAACTTCACTTCCACTTCTCAAAGGATCAAAGAACAACTGCTTTGTACATGCTATTTCAGGGAACCATGCAAGAGAGGTAACATGTGAGCTCCACTTCTGGCTGTGTGCATTTGGACAAATAATCTCTCCTGGCTGCAGTTCTCCTATGTGGTTAAACAATAGTGTCCTAACAGTGTGACTAAAGAATTCTTGCAAGGATTAGAACAATTAACAAATAACAAAGTGCACACAAACAGGCCTGACACCTCCTCAGCATTCAATAAATGCCATTTGATTGTGTAGGGAGAAAAAAGTTCCTCATTATTAAGTTGCTTAGGCTTGTATCAGAGGAATTGGATACATATCTGGAATGCTTTCTCAATGCAACACAAGTATATAATAACATACACCACAAATGAAACAATAAGTTTTCATATTAAGAAATCAAAGATTAAAGAGGGGTCCAAATTGTTCAAGGAGATGATAGTTAAGTAATCTTGAAATAGGTAGGAGTTGGGATGGCTGTAGAAAGCTTTAAAAAACAATTTGCCTCCTTTTGGACTTTAAACAACCTCATGTGACAGAAAATCATTGTGAAAACATTTTTCTGTATTAACCAAGGGGCTTAGCAAGGTAGTGGAGCTGGCAGTCAACCCAACATTCTAGACTCTGTGATGGCTTTCAGAATGCCTACCTGCTAATGACCACACCCATGAGTGATATTCTCTTCAGTGAAAATAGACTTATGATTTGCTTCTAACCAAACACATGGAACAAAAGTAGCAAATAGTATATATCTGCATTATTTAAAACTGTCATTTTTATCTTGTTAGCAGGCCCTCCTTTTTGTAGACTCTCTTACAGCAAGCTAGCATGTTATGATCGATCCTATGGAAAGGTATATGGCAAGAAACTGAGTTTAGCCATTGACTAACATCCTGCCATAAACCAAGAACTTCAGCTCAGCAGTATGCAAAGAGCTCAGTGTTGAATCTGGCCATACCTAGCTTAGCAGTGAGATTGGATCCACTACTAGTTAGGCCTCAGGATAGTAGCACAATCAATGCATCTTGATGAGAACTAGAAACAGAAGCATGCCTGGACTCATGGCTCACAAAAACTGTGGAATAAATGTGCATGCGTGCATGTGTGAACTAGAAAGGGTAGAAAGGGGACTGTGACAGAGAACAAGCCATGTTAAGGAAGGAGAGAAGAGGAAAGAGAAAAAGAGGCTATGACATGAAAGCAGAAACAGGCCCCCTAGGGGCTAAGACAGAGACCAGCAAGAGAGGAGCAGGAAAATTGGGTGAGTGGGGGCTGAATATGAACAAAGTATACATGAAAATGCTACAACGAATCCTCTTACTTTGCAGGTTATCACTTAAAAACTAATTTAAAAGATAGAGAATTAAAAAAAAAAAACACCATATTCTGTAGAGAGGAAAAACAAATCTAGCTATCCATGTCATTAATATAATTATATAGAATTAGTGCTAGATAAACTTATTATTTCCTAGACAAGTCTTTATGACCTATATTTACTTATTTTCAAAATTGTAAATCATGGCTTCATCCTTTAATCAGGGCTGATAAATTACAGCCCTTGGGCGAAGCTCAGATATCACCTCTTCTTTCTTAAATGAAGTTTTATAGGTAAGCCACACACCCGTTTATGCCATACTGTTTATGACTGCTTCTGCCTCCCAACTGTAGGGCTCAGTGGTTTTTGAAGAAACCATAAGGCCTTCAAAGCCAGGAAGATCCACTTCTCCACACCTAACTAAAAAGATTGTTGATCCCTGCTTTTGGTGAAGAACTATCATCATTTTTAAGTATTTAAATTCACAGTATTTAAGTATTGTAGAAGTATTTATATGCTCAAATATACAACTATTCTATTGAAAAACTGTGTGTGGCACAGAGATAAATACATTTTCTTCTTGTGATAAGTTGCTTGATGTGTAAAAGTACTGCCATTTTATTTCCTCTTTTTTTTTTTCTAGAGCTCACCATCATCTAAATGAAGCTAAACCATTGGAAACTTCTTAATCCTAAACCTGTGGCAGTTCTCTGAAGACAAAAAATGAAAAGCTATGGAGAACCTTAGCATCCATATGAGACCTCCCAATCCAACAACCTCTGATGCAAAGTTCTACCCTCAAGTCCCTGATTTCTAGAAACAGCCCTCAACGCAGCATGAGGCTCAGAGGACAAAGCTGCTTTGGTCACTTTTTCAACATACCTAGAGACTTTCAAATGGAAAAAAAAATGTATTCTATACAATAGATTATGTAACACAAGTTATATGAATCCTGTCACTCCATCGTAGAACTCCAAAACCTTTCTATAGTTTGCATTTTAAGTTTATAAACATTTAGAAGCATTTTTACTTTTTCCTTACTTATCTTCTGGGGGCACACACCTATAATCTCAGCACTCAGGGAGGCAGAAGCAGGCAGATCTCCGAGTTCGAGGCCAGCCTGGTCTACAAAGTGAGTCCAGGACAGCCAAGGATACACAGAGAAATCCTATACATATAAAAACAAACAAACAAAAACAACAAAATCAAAACTGTAAACTACAAAGAAAGCATAATGCCTAAAAAGGAAGTAGTGCCACTTTTACTTTAGTTGGATTAATGACTGATGCAGAGGGGCCCATCTTACTGTGGGTGCTGCTGTTCTATCCCTGGGTAGGTGGTCCTTGGTGTATAAGAAAGTAACCTTAGCAAGTCACCAGCAGAAAACCACTAAGCAGCGTTCCTCCAGGGCTTCTGCTTCAGTCCCTGCCCCCAGATTTTTGCCTTGAGTTCTCCTGCTCTGGCTTCCTTCAGTGGTGGACTATTACCCAGACAAGTAAGATAAAACAAACCCTTTCCTCCCCAAGTTGATTTTGGTCAGTGTTTTATCATAGCAAGAGAAACCTAACTAAGACATTTATAGATCAACCTTGGTCATTCTCTAATGACTCCTGTTGGACTTATACATGATTTTCTTACCAATTTTCATCGAAATCCATTGAGGAATAAGGTGATCTTTGCTTTTATTTCTTGGCCAGAAATAACATCTTACAAGTCTCATAAGAAGACAAGATTATAGGTGGAATTAAGCATACACACCACAATGGCATAGAAAAGTAGGGAGCTTTAGAAACCCATTTTGAGCCAAGCTTTTTCCTTATCCCTGCTTTCTGGTTTCCACCCCGCTCTAGGTAAGTACCTTTTAGGACACTATATGGATAAAATCTGTAGCTTTCTTTTATTTACAGGAGCACTCTCACAACTCTAAGTAACACCACACTATGCCAGATCTATAGGCTAACAACCCAAACATCCTGACTCCTGAAAGTTACCTCAGGAAATGATACGAAACCAGCTGGTTGCCCTCAATAATGTCACCATTACAAGCCATGAACACACAAATGTCATACAGTCTAATTTCCTGTTCTGTATCCATTATCTATTATGATAATAATACTATCTAAGAAACAGCAAAAAGCCTCAACAGCATGAGTATTTATTGTTTATGTGTCTAAAATCACTGGGAATTGGCAGACCTCTACTGATCTTGGCTGGACTTGCGTGCAACTCTGGAAGTTGCCTTCTGCTTGGGCAATTACTCCATGTGTCTCATTTATAGTTGGCTAGTCTAAACAGGTTCTCTTGACAAAGACGAAGGTGTGAAGGATGAGCCCCATTCTTCAAGCCCATTAAGCCTTCTTTAATACAAATCAAGACGAATGATGTGTGTGTGAACCTGCAGTGGGATGGCACTGTAAAATGACATGACCATAGACGTTATTATAGAAAAGAATGAAGACAGGAGTCCATCAATGCAATGGACCGTACTTCCTTAACCCAAGGTGGAGCTGTAACCCATGTGTTTGCTTAAATGCTTTGAAAGCCTATTTAGAGTTTTCAATGTCTCACGCTTTTTAGATTAAAGTTTCACAGGTCTTATCAGCTTTACCACCTGTGGTGTAAATAGTTGCTCCCTCTGTTTACTCTGAATTTCTCTCTGTTGTGCTTTCATCTGTATTGCTTTTCAGGTGAAAAAGATTGATCCAATACAACTGTCAACATCCTGTCCTTTCTTGCTCCAAGTCACACTTTCCTTTAGTGAAGTTTTCTGCAGCCCCCCACTGGCCCCAGCCCTCTCTGCTCCCCTTAACTAATTCTAACTATTCTTTGGAGAAAGGGCAAGGATTCCTTTATCTTTCTTTCTTTCTTTCTTTCTTTCTTTCTTTCTTTCTTTCTTTCTTTCTTTCTTTCTTTCTCTTTCTTTCTTTCTTTCTTTCTTTTTCTTTTTGTCTTCCTTCCTTCTTTCCTTTCTTTCTCTTTCTTTCTTTCTTTCTTTCTTTCTTTCTTTCTTTCTTTCTTTCCT